AAGGCTCGGGGATGAGGACAGCATTAACTGCTCTGTGTGACGTCTGAGTACAGAAAGAGCAGACATTGAAGTTTACAAAGCCTGAAGACCACAAGGCACAGACAAGCATCCAACTCATACCCTCCCTAATGATTTCACCATGAGCAACATAAAGAGGTAAGGTCCCTCCCACCTTGGTCTCTTCCTTAAGTCCAGTCAACGCACACAGCAAAGTGGAAAGATTTTATGAGAAGGTGCTTTTTTTCTCGAGGCTCAAAGAATTTTGGAAACTTCACATGGTGACGTAATGTTCGCGAGCCGCGCAAGTTCCCTGGGAAACATCAGCAAAGATCACTCATCTTGCAGAGACAAAAGCTGGGCTTTCATAGTGAGCTTGGTTCTCATCACAGTCTGTACCCTGAATAACGTTCAAGCGCTGGAGATCCAAGCAGCCTCTTGCAAACATTGCAATTTCTCCCTGGCAAGCACCAAAGAAGCCACTTCTCCGACTTCAGCAAATCAAGGACAGGTTGGCTAGAAGAAGGGCTCTGCTTTCAGCAATAAAATGAAGAGGGGTGGGAAGAACGGAGCAGCCCGTGGCACAGACAGCAGGTGCTTTCTCAACTCAAAAGCTCCACATGGATCCATCCACACTGTATTTTTACCTTTCAGAGCAATTCCTTTAATTAATTAATTAATTAATTTTTGGCGGAAGTGAGGATTGAACTCAGGCCCTTGCACTTGCCAGGCAAGCACTTATTCTACTGAGCTATCTCCCCGGCCCCTACAGCAATTCCTTTAAGCAAATCAGAGTGGTTAATTTAATTTCTATTTAATGTTGCAAGTCTTTTTGGACTTGTACATGTCTTGTTTCTGGTTTTATAAAAGTATGATCATATGTAGTTTAATATTTATTTATTAACGTGGTACAGGGTCTTGCTATGCAGCTCGGACTCACAGTGATCCTCCTGTCCCAGCCCCAGTACTGGGTTTATAGGTGTGTGTCACCATGCCTGGTTTCGGTGGCCAGCACAGTGCGCCTGGGGTTCCAGGACCAATACAGCATGTGGTACCAGGGATCGAACCCAGGTCCTTGAGCTTGCCAGGGAGGCGCTTAGACTGCTGAGCTACCTCACCAGCCTCACATGTAGTTTAAAACTAAGTTATATTTGCATATATTCAAGTGACATATTCTTTAAAAGAGTTCTGTGCACAATTCAGGGCTATGAAATACTGAGAACATGATTCCTTGAAGTAGCACTTAAAAGGATGATGCAGAGTGGGAGCGCACTTGCCTAGCATGTGCAAAGCTCTGGGTCGGGTGCCCAGCACCACAGTGAGTAAGTGAGTGAGTGAGTGAGTGACTGAGTGAGTGAGTGAGTGAAAGGATGCATATAAAATCCACTTAAAGAAAAAGTATGCAACTAAGTAGCTCCGTGAAGTAGCACCTTTCCTCACCAAATGCCTTTCTTCTCCCCAGGTACCTCCCTCAGACCCACCAGCACAGGTGTCTTTTCAAACTATGAGCAGAGTGACTTACCGCCTGGCCACTTCCTGAGCACTCTCACAGAGCGCAGAGTGTGCGGGCCTTAGCACACACTAGCATTATCTGTACCGCTAGCCCCAACACCCTCACTAGGTTCTCTCTGATAGGATTTCTGAGGCAGATATACAGATGAGCCCACAGGTGAGACCACCTGGCATAACCCTTTCCTCTCACACGCTGGTCATTTTCCAGGGTACCCATTACCAGGTTTTGGCAGCCTGCTCCTCTACGGCCAAGGGCCTCCCTATTCCTTGGTCTGCTGAAGAGTCATTTCTTCCAGTGATGGCTGCCATTTTTGCTGAGCTCCCCAAATCTGCACTGGACACTCCTGTTACCCCGTATCTGTGCCCTGCAGGCTCTGTGTAGGAGGGTGACCTCTCTCCATCCAGCGTTTGGTCAGATGTGACCTTTCTAGAGCGTACCCAGGGCCCATTACTTTTGCTCTCAAGTCGTGAGTTGCTTTGAAAATGAAACCACCACTTCTATTTTCTCCTCACAGTTCCTGTTACCAGCAAACAACCCACACTTCCTCCCTGCCCAGTGTTTAGAGTGTGAGCCGCTGAGAAAACAATTTCCACATACTTGTAATCATTCCTCCATTCTGATTTCTGGTTTACTTGACGAAGCCTGGTTTCCTTTTCCCTAGAACCAATGGTCTCCCAGGAGGCACTGTGACCTCTAGCAGACCGGATAAAGCTGAAGTCCACTCCCTGAGTGCCTTAGAATCAATGTGCGCCACCCCTGTCCCAGCCACCTAGTTACTGGTACAAAATGCTGCAAGTTTGTAAGGACTACTTCAGCCTGGCTGCAGAGCACAGCGAAGGGCCCGTCCTTACTACCTTAGGGTGAGGTCAGGCTGCTTCGCTTGACATTCACAAGGGCATCCTCCCCGATCTCAGAGATGATTACATGGTGAATCCACCACAAATGAAAATGGTTGCTTAATGGCCCCTGATGTCTAACAGTGTGCAATCCAGCTCTTCAAAAAGAATGAACAGGTAGCTTAAAATACACATGTGGTTTAGAATTTTGGTGACATGTAGCCGTGATTGATAATGCAGAGTCCGCTGCTGTTTCTCCCCCTTGGGTTGAAGGTAAACAGCATAGATGGTGGAAACGACACTGCAAAAGTCCCGCCAATTGGCAACCCTGAAGCACCATAAAGGGGGTTATTTCATCCACTCCAAGCTATTAAGATCTAGTGGGGTTGGGGAAATTTACATACATACACACTCACATGAAAAAAAAAACTTCTTCGTTTTCATCACAAAGAAAAATTAACAGTGATTGAGTCTGAGAAATTGCATACGCCAAAAGACTACATCAGCATCTGAAAGTCACGTGACTAAGAGGAATGGGTTGACTACAACTACCTGACGCCATAGCTTGTGTATTGTTCAGTATTGTACAGTGCAACGCCCGAATCAATAACCTAATAAAATGAACAACCAAAGTCTTCCTAGCTAAGTTCATCTTACTTAAATTCAGTCCCAGTCACATCATAATGACACCAGCCATATGGAGAGATAGTTTATATATGTGGTTAGATAGGAAAATGGTATTACATTATTAAAAAAAAAAAAAAAAAACATAGGCCACAGAAGAGTTACAGTAAAGCCCAGGCACAAGCAAAAGCCACAAGAAAACCCAGCCCAATGGTAGTGAGACACATACTAACAAGCAGTCACTGATAATGACACCTATAAAAACACTTTAGTCCAAATAAACATTCCAGGGCACATTTTTTCATGCAAGTGATAGGAAAAACAATGACAGGGACTCTTTGTTCTACTTCCGGTATCAGGGAGTCAAACTCAAGCTTTTTTTTTTTTTTTTTTGCTTGCAGTACTGGGGATTGAACTCAGGACTCTGTGCTTGCCAGGCAAGCGCTTATTCTACTGAGCTAT